AATGATACTGGGGGAGACTCCTAGTTACCGCAAAATCACATAATAACCGATATTCGTTATACTAAATCGCAGCAATCATGAAATCGATTTTATAAGGTATCTTCGTTTCTTCCGAACAATTTCGATCACGGCAGTCGCGAATGTGGCGACTTTCAAAGGTGATGGTGGTCGGACTGAGATATCTTCTCCTCTCACGAACATCATCGAGAGTTCGTCAATGTATGAACACTCGTGTCCTTCCAAAGGCAATCTTTCTCCATCGCTTCAGTGCAACGACCATTTTCAGCAGTCGCACTTAGGTAGTTTACTAGAAACACTGTTTAGAAAAAAGCACAGAAGGCAACTGGTTCAGTCCCATGTGATACAGAAAAAAATGATAGATTTGAAGTCAAAGATGAGTGACCAGTAATCGCTGTTACCAGACGCTTACTCTAACGCAAAATCATGCTCCTGGTGAAATGAAAATTAGAAGCAACAGAAAGAACAAAAATTCACTCTTATAGTCCGATCGGTTTAGTATCTCAAAATGAAAACTGAAAAAAGAACGTAATATAGGAAGGAAGTGAAAAACTGCTTCTGCTACTCCAACAAGCTAAAGTATTATTTCAAACGATAGAATCTCATAAAGGCTGCTGCATGACGAAGGCGCAATACCTTTGAGCGCGCACGCGGCTCTATTAACCGCAGAGCGCATAAGGCGCAAGATTTGCAACGGTGAAGATACGCGCGCGCCGAGTTCGCGCCCGCTTAACTAATTTTGCTACTGCGCCTTCGTCATGCAGTAGCCTTTACTCACAAAGTAAATTTTTTAACAAACAACGGTTACCTGCTGAACACTCATTGAGCTGGGAGAAAACATGGTTTCAAGCGTGTCACCAATGGCCGGTCCCTCTATTTCTCTGATCTAAACAGTTACAATCAGATCAAAATTGATTCAACAAATAAAGACTTGTCTAAGGTTCCTTCATACTACGCCGCATGCGCCGCGTGCGCCGCAGCACGCAGCGTACACTACTCGCAGCGAGAATACGCTCATGGCAGTACAAGCTGTCTATCAATGTATTTCCATATCTGCTACTCTTCGTGTTCTCCGAGTGTTCACAGCGAAACTATGCTGCCATGGACGACAATATTACTTCTTCAGCCATCGTTCGGCTGCCTGACAGTATTTTTGGCGTAAAACATATTGTATTTGGTGTAAGTGCAGAATGAATATTACTTATTTCACGCCTATTTTTCCAATTAGCGCATCATGCCGAACGATGGCTGAAGGAGTGTTTTCCATCCTATTTTTCTTTTGTGTTCGCGTTTACTCGAACAAATCCATAAATCGATGTCTGTACTTAGGCGTATCAGTAAACCACTGATCTCATGTGACTGTGAACTGTGCTGGCTGCTTTTATTCTTCTTCAAATAAAAACGTTTCAGTAATATTTCGTAGACCGGGTCTCGTTCTGGACGAAAGCGAGAGGAGGATTCAGTCGCTTCTGGGGGTGGTCAAGGTAGCTATGTTATCTGTGTTTTTACTTTTTCATAATTGTTTACTCGACTACTTGCTTAAATAAAGGAGCGCAAGGCGTCTTCTCAACAAGAAAAGAGTACTTCCTGAGTGGTCTGAATATGAATCTCTTTTTTTTTCCGCAAGATTCAAACCATTTTTTACTGTTTGTGGTGTGCTCCCAATGTGTTGCAATGAATGTATTGAACTTGGTGCTACTTACTGAAGTTCTTTGATTTGCTATGATGTACCTCTCATAACTGGAGATTCCTCATCAATTCTGACAAGGTCGGCCCTGTATGGGTACATAGGAGTGGTGTTCTGGGAAGCTAGACTGCTATCCGGTTGTCACATCATTGACCTCTGTCTATTCTAGGCCCAAGTTTTGTGGACGAGCGCAGTTTTTCTCCCGAGCCAGCTGCAACCATAATGCGGGATGACACGTCCCAGCCGAATATGATGCGATCGCCAGAGCACCACATCTTACAGAATCACAGGATCATAGGATGCATAGGATGTTACAGATTGACGCGTTCGCATCAAAGTATTCGCATCTTGCAAAACTAGGCGATATCGGTATGTTTCAGCATACTTGATTCCTTTGAGAATTTTCTAGAGTAATTGTCCTCCCATTTGCATCTTACGCCTCTTTTGCATTTGTAGAAGAGGACGAATGAGTTCTGTGACAGCCCTAAAGATTAATGGATTTTTGTACGAGGGCTATTTTTTGTTCAATTTACTGCACGATTTGGGAGTAAAAATATCCATAAGTCCACTTAGAAGATGTGCTTGGTGCTCAGTCTGTCTCATACTCCATTCTCAAATAAGAACGTTTTGCGCAAGAATGTTTGGAGTTTACATTTTGAGAATTCTCATTTGGTTTTGCTGGCATTATTACCTTACACTCGCAAGGTTTTTAATCGTTTAAGATTTTTGCTGTATTGTTAGCAGTAGATTGTTCACACTATGAATATTTAGATATCTAACTCCTTTCTCGTTATCCTTCCTCTGAAGAAGAAACTAAAGATGAAGACGTGCCATGGAATGGAGAACAACCGTTGAACAAGCTGTCAAAGCTGAAGACCACTTTAACTAGGTCAGGAACTTGTCAGTCTTCGTAATTAGAGGTTAACTTATTTTTGAAGTGGTCATGCTGCTGGCTATTGATGGAACGGCTCTCTCAAGAAATACCATCAAGAGACCCACAAAAATAACAGTTGTGTTTTGTGTTTTGGTTTTGTTTTGTTAGGTTTTCGCAATATTGCATTTTTTCTTAGAGTTATCAATTTGCTTGTACTCTTGTAGAATATGCTTAGTTTCTTTTTTTTGCTTATTTCCAAAAATACTATGCAAATATTCTCTCAATTTTTGCTTATCTTATCAGGCCAAACAAAACGGCTTCACGTTAGGTTCCCATGACCACGACGTGCAGAGAATCACTACCAAAAGTCCACAGCTAGGTCACATACTCACTGGTTACTTGTACGATTGCTACTACTGTACATTGTAGCTCCATGTACTAAGCATTTCGGGTTCGACTATTTATTTGTGTATCAGCTTTTGTATCAGCTTTCCAATCTTTCCAGTCAGAGATCAAATGAAATAGTGATAGAGCATGCGAAGACGCTGTATTTCCCAAAACGCGAGCAACTTGAAGCCCTGCCCAGTAAGGGCTACGTCGTGAGGCCGTAGTCGTCATCACTATTTATGCTTGCGTGACTCACATTGCCTTTGCCATTGGAAAACGTCATAGGTTGTCGACAACGGTTGCCGGTCCTTATAGGACCCATAGTACCCTCCCTGTGTTCTGAAATCTGACAACCTTGGCAACTTCGACAACCGTTGCCGGCAACCTATGGCTCTTAGAGGAAAATCAGGGTCATTTCAAATAAGACATCAGTCCTGCTATAGGACTTGCTTTGTTGTTCAAAGCATATATCATACAGAACGCACCCATTTCACCGTCTAGGAAAATGTTAACTGCCTATAAGCTATCATGACAAGAAGCGTCGATCTTTGTTTAACACGGCATGGCAGGAAGTGAAAAGTCTGTGGTAAGTAAAGCAAAGATAAGGTAGCTGGAAGACATGCGCATTTCATTTCGAATTGACATAGATGATGTATATCTGCAGTAAAAGCACCACAGTTCTCCTATAAAAAGAGGACATTGAATCACAGTACGAGAAATCCATCAAAGTCATCAACTTAATGACTAGAAGTCAAAAAAGTAGTAGATAAAGATAACAACAAAACAACTCATAGTTTCATTTAAATACGTTCAGATATTGTAAGGCGAATAGGCAAGAGCAGCTGAAAATGAATGTGTTTGCAAATAACTCTAAGGCCCGTATGCACGTACATCCCCTTGGGGAGGGGAGGGGATCTGAGAGGGGAAGCGTCATATTTTGTTACTCTGTATACCTTTCTTCTTCCTTCTTTTTCTATGATATGAAGGTTCTCATACCCTGATACCTACGCATAATGGATGCCAGGTTGCTGGCATATTTGATTAGATTTTCACCAGTTTGTGTAATCCCCTGGGGATCCCCAGGAGATCACCTCTCATCTTCGAAGTCATTTTTCTTGCTGAAAACTCCATGAAAATGCCGTAAAGTTGTACTGAGGATATACTACGGCACTCCTAAGCATGTTTTTGACAGAAGAAATGGAATTTGAAGATTATTAATTTTTCTATAATCCCTGGCTCGCGAGCAGCGGTTCGTCGAAAATTTCGATATCCTGAGATTTCCCTTATTTCTACTATAAACATGTTTAGCAGTACCATATTATACCTCAGCAGAAATTTAGAACATTTTCAATGAATTTGTGGGAAGATAATTGACTTTGAAAATGAGAGGTGATCCCCTGGGGATCCCCAGGGGATCACACAAATTTGTGAAAATCTGATCTTGTACGGCAATAACCTGGCATACATTATGCGCAGGTATTGGGGTATGAGAACCTTCATATCACAGATAAAGAAGGAAGACGAAAGATATACAGAGAAGCGAAATATGACCTTCCCCTCTCAGATCTCCTCCCCTCCCCGCGGCGATGTACGTGCATACGGGCCTAAGACTTCGAACAGAGTTCACGCAATTTCATCGCCGCGATTCAGTCGCTGTTTTCCATTCATTTTCATTTTACATTCAAAAATTTCGGGCTGGAAAAGTATCACAACCGAAATGCAAGCTGGTTGGCATGCAATGAACTAGTATCAGTTGTCTTGTCGCGACTGAATCGCTGCGATCAAATCGCGTGAACTCTGTCCGCGGTCTAAGGGTAACTAGAGCTAATGTCAGTGATTTCCTATTGATTGATGAACAATGAGTCTCTTGAGCATGACCTCTCTTACAATGAGGTCAATCGATTGAGCTCTAAACTGGCTCAACTAAATTGAGACGGCATCCGGCGGCGAAAATCTGACATATTATAAACGCTGCTGGCAGCTCTCAAGATCTGATTAGCAGGGACAGAGCTACTTCCGTACTCATCTCTATAGTCAGGGGCATATGCTAATGATCATAAATTGGTAGAGGAGGCTTCCGTGTTGAATACCCATTTGTCCAATGGAAATCCTTTTGAGTATCAGCAAATAGAAGATAGAGATAGTTGAAACCTCAGCAACTAAAACAATTTCATCAGATCTCTGAATGCAGGATGATCACAACAAAAACAACATTATCGTGTGGTTAACAGACCTGTATGTAACAGGGATTTCTTACACTCTTCACTGGCGAATAACCATTTCGCACCCGCGCATATTTCTCAATCGCTTCAAAGGCATTCCAACCCCATTCTTGGTAAGTTTTGTCACCTAAATTTGGTAGTATTGATAAATTATGCATAAAAGTCATTGGTGTATAACTCACCAGTCATTCTGTAGAGGTACCAGGATTTAATCGCTTCTGGTGCCGAAAGTGAATGTGCATCCAGAGGCTAAAGGACGATGTTGAAAAGCGTATGTGCTTGAAAAATAGCAAAACAACAACTTTGATAGAGAGATCTTCGTTTTGACCAGGTAACATGTTGAAGTACGCTATCTCAAGTCCCAAACCCGCAGGATTTGCGTACATCGCCTGACAACTTCTCCCAAGACTCTGCAATAGAAACCAATATTTGAAGTCGATAATGCTCATATTAGCGGCAACGAAAATCGAAAGCATACCTCTGCCAATTGCAGATGCTCTTTCGGTAATCCATGAACTGTAGCTAGTGCAAGTGTTCCGGCGAGAAAGCAAACTAAGTGATCCTAAAGGTGCAAAGCATTCAAAAGCGAAGAAAAAACGATTGAAACACTAAAAACAGGCAAATTCACATCATTTGTCCTTTACAAGCTTACCATTTTCGGTCAGTGTCAGCTTCATTCGTGCGACCAAGCAGGCGAGACAGCAACTGGAAATAAGAATAGCTATACCACAATCGGATTTTTATCGAACTGTTTGTTGGAGTAGATGCGCAAGAGAAAATTAGGATGGAAAACACTCCTTCAGCCATCGTTCGACATGATGCGCTAATTGGAAAATAGGCGTGAAATAAGTAACATTCATTCTGCACTTACACCAAATACAATATATTTCACGCCAAAAATACTGTAAGACAGCCGAACGATGGCTGAAGAAGTAATATTGTAACTTGCTAAACCTCCACGTCATAGCATTGCTTTTCGTAATCTCTCGCTAGCAAAAACCGTCACGCGGTGAGTTGGCAAGACTCCACCTCCACACGAATCTGGGAGCCGATGATACTCGGTGAAAGCAGCTTGAAGTCTTGGAAACACTTCAGCAAATGAGCGAAGCCTTATCTCTATCAAAAGCAGCTTTCAAGCTGGCTTGAGTTTTTATCGTATTAGGACAGGCTCAGCGTAGGCGAGCATGAATTAAGCAGATATTCTAGATATTCTGTACACATTCTGTATCGTACAGTTCTAACCTTACATATCCAAATGATAAAAATATCCGAAAAGCAAAATAAAGCTAAAATGAAAGGCGAGGAAAAAAGAGAGAACCCTGAAGATAATCATGATAATTACCTTGAGCCTTTTTGTTTCCTGCGTTGGCATCCTTATCCTTATCAGCATTTTCGAAGAAAATCCGTGGCATGAACTTGTACACAAGCATTTACAAGGTAGAATCTCGTCGATATCCATTCTAAAGAGATAAAGTTACTTGAGAATTTCATAACCTAAGGGAACGGCCATAGGTTGTTGGTGTTGTCGATGTTGTCGGCGTTGTCGATGTTGTCGATGTTGTCGTGTTGTCGGGGTTGTCGGGGTCAAAGACAGTTTAGAGAGCGCGCGAAACATGGAGGCTATCATGAGATCCTCCAACGACTGGCAACCTCGGCAACCCCGACAACACCGACAACCTATGACCGTTCCCTAAGAAAAAGGAGGAATAAAAATAAACCAAGATGCTCACGTTATCGACGTTCTTTTTGCAACCCTTAGTTGCATAGGATTGGCTAATAACATAGATTATTATAAAATTTCATTTATGCCAAACTCAAGGAAAATAACTTACAACTACGCATACATCCAGCCACAGTGACGGCGTTCACCAAGAAATCGTGGCATAAACCGCATTTTAAATTTGGTGATGCACTCATCGCCCTGAAATTCAACCATTTATGTATGGAAAACTAGCTGATAACAAATAGGTCAGAAAAACATCGCTTTCTTTTTTGAAATGTTGGTCTGTTTGGTAATCCCTACCATTTTTGAAACCTACAACGACAAGCAAAACAAAATTTGAAAACCTTTATTTTTTTATTGCGCTACTATGCTAGGTTATCTCTTCTAAACTGAAATCGTACTTCAACTTCAAACCTTCCATGATATAACTATTACTCACTAACTCTGTTCTATGGCCAACACTCTCGCCACTTTTTTGTTGTGATTCTTTCTCTCAATAAAGAAAAACTAGACTATGCAACTAGGATACAATTCGAGCGGGCTTAGACTTTGACATTTCGTTGCAGACAATATCAGCATTTGATTTTTGCTTGAGGAGAAGCGATTCCTAGTAAATGCACTGCATTATGATTCAAATGACATTCAAGCAAAGACAAAGATCAAATGAGGTGGCTCTAATGTTCGGAATATAATATTAGACGCTAATGGATCATCCTATTATTTATACTTGATACGTAGGATCCCTAGGGTTTTTCTTTTGCTATGACATCACATAAAAATCATTAAAAAGCATGATTTGAGATGTGTTTCGGGTGAACAAACACCGTTTTGCCGGGGGGCGGAAGTTTCTCACCCGAACCATATTCTCGCACCTAAGTGATGTGCCTGCCAGGCACATCCGAACTCGCTACACTTACGAGCTCCTCAGAAGACCAAGACATCGCAAGCTCCGCCCACTCATTTAGTTTTCGCTCCAGATGATGAAACCGGAATTTCAAAGAAACTTTCAAAATCGAAGTTCAGAAGTGAATTTGCTCCAATCACGACCAAATTTCGAATCTAGGGGTTTTCGAGGTTGCTCTTTTCAGTGGTCTGATATGTTTGTTGCAAAGTCGACGTTCAGCACCGACGATGCTTAACCAAGATTAAAATTCGCATTTGGAGGTTTTCAAATTTCTATTTCAATACAAGACCAAAACTCAGGTTTAAGGCTCGAAATCGATAATCGTATATATTTTGTGCAATATCAATAGGATTTGTTTTTTGGACAATTTTTTGGAGAAAAAATGTTTTTCCACAAAAACCGGATTACTTTCATAGAATCGTGCCAGATGCAGGAACACGTATGTAATTCCGTAATGTTTTATTTTCCTGACTTCATTAAAAATATATTAAGGTACAGCGCTTATAATAACCCAACCAAGTATCTTATAACCTGACTTAGCACAGGTCAGTGAGGTCATCGAGGCTGGCTTAATGCCAGAAAGCTCCATAGTAGACGTGGAAAGGTCGGATTAGTGTCAAACAATAGAGAAAAACATCTTTATTATTTTGGAAACATTCAAATTCAAATTTGTCCCGGTTTTTAGGATATTTTCAGTATTTTAAAACCCAGTAAATTACATGGAAAAGCACGAAAAATGTAACGCTCACAAGCGACTGGAAGAAGAAAACATCACCGAAAAATGGTCTATTGCAAAAATTTAGTATTTTGTTGGTTATTTATTTATCTTCAAAAATTAGAATTAAAATTTTTTGAAAAAATTACTGCTTCTACAACAACCTTCCAACGCAGAATTACTAAATTGGGTCTAAATTTTATATAAATCCATATCACGATGTTCTTTCAATTGTCCATTCATAAATTTTCGAAAACCCTCAAACCTGAGTTTTGGTCTTGTATTGAAATAGAAAATTGAAAACCTCCAGATCCGAATTTTAATCTTAGTCAAGCATCATCGGCGCTGAACGTCGACTTTGCAACGAGCAAAACATACTACTGAAAAGAGCAACCTCGAAAACCCCTAAATCCGAAATTTGGTCTTGATTGGAGCAAATTCACTTCTGAACTTCGATTTTGAAAGTTTCTTCGAAATCCCGGTTTCATCATCTGGACCGAACACTAAATGAGGGGGCGGGGCTTGCGATGTCTTGGTCTCCTGAGGAGCTCGTAACTGTAGCGAGCTCGGATGTGCCTGGCAGGCACATCACTTAGGTGCGAGAATATGGCTCGGGTGAGAAACTTCCCGCACCCCGTTCTGCCACGCAGGATTTTGTTCAGCTGAGATTTCTCTCAGTATTATGGGTTTTCTATCAAAAAACCTGCAATATGTCAGCGTAAGGACGAAAAAAAATTAACTGCAGAGAATGGATGAAAATCCCATTGTGCAGATGGCCTGCCACGATCACGTGCTTCAATGACAAATTTTTATCATTACTGAATATGGAATGAATCTGAATGTTCAAACGAAGAGATGCGTAAGAATTTGGATAAGGTAAAAACAGATCAAAAGCCTGAGTAACTAAGCCTATAGTAAACCAATACCTAGTCATCGTCCAGTGAAATAGTTGTACATGGCGGAGACAATGGACAATAAGAGGAATGGAGAATGTCCTCACTGACACGCCGAGAGCGGATCCTTGTCTTTGCGTGAAATGAATCGCCTATAAAAAAGGGCGCAGATCCGACGAATAGCTCACAAAAAGCTTGATGGAGACAAACGAAATAATACGAAATAATCATGCCGGGAGACGAGATAATGGAGACGAGCGGTTCGTGAAGAGAGAATTACAAATGAGTGGTAGTGAGACTGCGAAATCCACTCTCAGACACTTTTTCCGACGGCCCGCGCGCCTTGAGCGTGCCAGCGCTCATGCCTCCCGCCGCCCGTGGAATGAAGGTACGCGGCTCGCTCGCTGAAGGCGCGCCGCTCGCCCTCTCCTTCGAAAGCGTTATGGGACCCTATTGTGATACAGATAGCAATCCTTTGATAAAATTCATATTTTGTCATCGAATACGACCTCATAGCGTCAGATTTATTGCCAAACAGGTATGATGATGCAGATTTATTATCCAAAGACTTACAGAAACATAATACAGAATCAAAAGCAGAACACAACAAGCAACAACTATAATATCATCAACACCTTTTAAGCTAAGCACTCTCTTGAAAACACGTAAAGCACAGCAGCCATGCTGATACTGAGAAAGCACTGTTAGATACCGGTAAGAGTGACCTGATTGAGCAAAAAAAAACCGGAATCCTGTCAGAATCATGACACTGAGGCAGTGAAGACGGAGATCTTGATGAAAGCTTGAAGCAAGGCACCATTATATTACGAAAGATGAAACACTAAAGATAAGACACTGAACAATACTTAAAGAGAAAACACAAAAAGAAAAACCTAGACAAATCCATTTTTTTCTGGAGGAGACGCTGGAAAGGAAATTACGCAGATGTTGACAGGCGTTAGCTGATGATTGAGTTGCTGCTACGTAATCCTTTTTCGGTCAGTAACTTCCTTCTCTTCGGCTGGTGCGGCACGTTTCTGGCGCTGAAAGAAGTGTCAAATCATTATTTAAGTATGCACAAACTCTCACCTTATTGGCTATCCATTTTCCTGACTCGTAATTGTAGGACCTTATATCTCGTCTGAAATCAAATTCTTAATCACTGTGAAATTTGTAAAGGATCTTTGGACTTACAGAGCCATTTGGAGAGATTTGAATAGTTGAGGTCGCCAATCTTGGCGCTGTTTTCTGAGCTCAGCCAGCGCTTCCATTCTTTCATTTTCGGTATTTCCAAGGTTTCTGTAAAATCTGAAACGCAAATCTTTTGGCTTTTGCGAATCCTGTTTTAGTCACTCACAAAGGGTGCCAAAGCGCAGAAGATATGCGTCGAGTTACGTTTGACTAAGGTATACTGCACCACGCTCGCAGTATTACGCATGTTCCGATATGCCAATTTGCGCGTAATCTGCTGCGCTTTGGCAGTTCCGGCGTTCAGGCAGATTTGGGCGCCATCTATTCCTAAGGCAGATTGATGCAATGGAGAAGAAAACAAAAAGAACTCACGGACTGGAAAGAGCGACGACGGGATGAGGTGATCAGCCTTCCACGAAAGACGAAGATTTCAAAATGATGTACTACGCGCGGAAAAGCTTCGTTTCATGATGAACGGGTCCTGACACGTTCATTGGGGCGCCGCTCGCACGGTCACTCAGATGGCGCGCCGCTCGCCGAAAGCAAGGTACGCCGCTCGCACGGCAGGTTTCGATAGCGCGCCGCCCGTCGGAAACGCTGCCACGTCCACAAATTTAGGCGCGCCGCTCGCACGGTAGGCTCGTGAAAGCGCGCGGGCCGTCGGAAAAAGTGTCTGAGCTGCCACAGTTTCTGGCTCGTTTTTTGTTGAAAACTGGTTAAAACCTAACACGTCCTAATCGGTTGCTAACTAAAAAGAACGAGTAAGCAAAAAAAGAATAATCACAAAAATCATACGCCCGCTGCAAATGGAACAAGAGACGCCAGGCGCACCTGCATAATTGGGCGTGCGGAAAACATTGGACGTGGCGACATCATGGACTTTTACACGTCGCATGGGGAGCACACAAACTGTCGCGCGGCTGCGCACGATCTCGACAGATCGTGCGCTGCTACACGATCTTAT